CCCTAAGCTAACATTTGTGCCAATTTTCCTCTATTTTTTAGGATGTGGGCTGCCAGCACAGCATGGCCGCTAACAAAGCAGTGTACATCCATGCCTGGGAACTGAACCTGGGTTGCTGAAGTGAAGCACACCAAACATAACCACTAGGCCACTGGGGCTGGCCCAATAATTCTGAGACCTAAAAATCCATTGATCTTATAACATTTTCACTGTCCTTTACCTACATCATATCTTCACATCCTTCCTTATCCACCTGAGTCCAAGGTCAGTCATTAAAATCACTCCCTTGCCTCTTTTTCCTTCATCATACTGCCTAGTAACAACCTGCTTAAATCCAATTATCCACCAGTTCCGTACCTGTATCTGCGCTGTTGAGTGAGGCTGATAAAAACACACAACGCCAACACGACTACTAACCTCAGGGAGGCCTTTAGTGCTGCTGCTACTACGTCACACAAATCTATTCACTCTCCTAGGTGGCTATTTTATACCTCATCCTTTCTCTTCAAACCTCCAACCTTTTCTCTATCTAACTCTGTTCATAGAGAAAATAAAAACACTCAAAAAGCACTTCCTCTTGCTTCACCATCACATTTAGCCACCTTCTATCTCTGTTTCCATATTTTGCACCTTCTCCTCTATTATGAACAGTCCATGTGCCCAAGACCAGCCTCTCCCACCCATTAGGTCCCATCCCTTTTCATCTACTCAAGGACATGACTTTCCTCTAACATCATCCCTGTCCCCCAAAATTGGGTGATCACTATCATCAATACAACAAACGTGCTATGATATAGGCCATGCAAAACAAAACCTGGGTGACTCCACATCCTTTCCTCCCCTTCACAAGCTACAGCTCCATTTCTCTGCTACCCTTACAGAAAACTTGTAAGACCTGATTGTTTCCAATTTCTCTCTTCTCATTCTCTCTCTCATCATTCCTTTGCCCAATTTTTTTACTTTGAAAAATCCTGATCATACCAAAAGAAAAGTTGAAAGAACATTTATGTTCTTCACCTAAATCCATCAATTGTTTACAATAATTAACATTTTTCCACATTTGCTTTATTTCACTCTTTCTATACATACCTACATACACATACACATATACTCTTTTGGAGGAGGCTGAACCCCTCAAAGTAAGTTGCAGTCATTATGACACTTCTCCCCTAAATATTTCAACATGTGTCTCTGAAGAACAGGGATATCCTCTTCATAACCCAATACACTATTACACCCAGAAAACTGGAACACTGATTTAGTGTTACACTACATCATTTAATATACAGTCCATACTCAAATTTTCCTAATTGTCCCCAAAATGTCCTTTATAGCAACATTTTTTTTCTTGCTATAGGATCCAATTAAAGTTCATGCATTACTCTTGGTTATGTCTCTTTAATTTCCCTTACAATTCCCCCTGCCTGGCTTGTCTGCCATTACAATGACATTTTTGGAGAGTACAAATCAGCTGTCTTGTAGAATGTTCGTGTTCTGGATTTGTCTGATAATTTCCTCATGATTAGATTTAGGTTATATTTTGGGGGGGGCAGGATTATTATATAGGTGATGTTGTGCAATGTACATAATGTCAGTTTGTCCCACAGTTTGTAGCATCAGTTTGTGATGCTATGTTTGATCATTTGGTTAAATGATGCATGCCAGATCTTGCCATTGTAAAGCAACTTATTCCCCCTGTAATTAAGGAATATGTGAGATGATCCTTTCAGATCATGTGAATATCCTGCCCACCAAGAGCCTTGAGTTCTTGTAATCCAGTACCATCTAAGAGTTCCAGTACCATCTAAGAATCCAGTACCATATAAGAGTTCTTATAATCCAGTACCATCATTATTGTTTTTGATGTTCCAGTTGTACTAATTTGCTGAGTGGGAGCCCCTTCAAACCAGCTCCTATGTTCTTTTGACATGTTTGTTTCCCTTTTTTTGTAAGGAGCCTTTTACCTAGTGGATTTTAGCATCCATAAACAACTTGCCTGAATAAATTATTACATTGGAAGCTGCAAAATAGTCAGGACATCCACATTTATTTGCTGGTATTATTCTTGGATTTCCCCTCTCACCCTACCATTTTTGTTTTGTTTTGTTTATCACTAGGGATTCACAGATTCTTTTTCTTACTCAATATATTATAATCCAGTACCATCATTATTGTTTTTGATGTTCCAGTTGTACTAATTTGCTGAGTGGGAGCCCCTTCAAACCAGCTCCTATGTTCTTTTGACATGTTTCTTTCCCTTTTTTTGTAAGGAAGATTGGCCCTGAGCTAACATGTGTGCCAATCTTCCTCTATTTTATGTGAGATGCCTCCACAGTGTGGCTTGACGAGTGGTGCTACGTCGGTGCCCAGATCCAAACCTGGGAACCCCAGGCCACAGAGCAGAGTCTGTGAACTTAACCACTTCTCCACTGGGCCAGCCCCTCCACTGGTTTTGAGCACTTTCTTGCTTTATGGCACGAGATCTGTTTCAGGCTCATTTTGCACTTTCCTTGGCCTAGACTTAAAACCAAACATTTCTCTAAGGAGCCCTGGTCTGGTTCCTTTTAGTAGGGATTGGTATTTAGAAACCGTGATCTAGATGCTCGTGGTGCTCACAGCTATGAAGTTTTTCTTGCAAAATATTTCATATCAGTTCACAGAAATCTTTCTCATTCTTTTCTACAATTAAATAGTACTCTTTTGTACAGATGTACCAATTACCAAATTCAACTAGTTTTCCATGGATAAGCATTCAGATTATTTCCAATATTTACAATTATTACAAATAATGTCACAATGAATAACTTTGTGCATATGCTGTTTCATATTTGTGGAGATATACTTTTAGGTAAATTCCATTAAGTCTCATATTCTCTCTTGAACCCATTCTCTCTTGAACCAATCAGGCTTTTGCCCTTATTAACTTACCGATGACCAACATGTTGCTAAATCCAATGGTCAATTATCCTCATCTTACTTGACCCTTCAGCGGCACTTGCCATAGCTAATTCCTGCCTTCTTAAAATACTTTTTTACTTGGCTTCCAGGATACTACTCTCTCTCTGCCTTGACCTTCTCAGTCTTCTTTGCTGGTTTTGCCTTACTTCTCTTACCTCTAAATGTTACAATGTTCTTGGGCTCAATCTTCAATCTTCTTTTTTTCCCTTCTGAACTCACTTCCTAGAAGACCTTATCTAACATCATGGCTTTACTGGTAACTCCCAAATTTCAGGCTAGGTCTCTCTGAACTCCAACTCATCTTTCCATATCTTACTTGGCATCTGTTTGGTGTAAAAGATATCTTAAACTTGACATGTCCAAAACCAAACCCTTAATTTTCTCTCTGGGTCAGCTCCTTTCATAGTCTTTCCATCTCTATGAAGGGCAACTCCGTCCTTCCAGATGCTCAGGTCAAAAATCTTGGAATAATCTTTGAATTCTTTTTGTTATACCTTACATGCAGATCCATCCGCAAATCTTGTTGGCTGTACTTTCAAAATATATATATATATAATTTGACTCTTTCATACTGTCTCTACCACTACTATCCTCATCCAATCCACCATCATCTTTGTCTAGATGAATTCAATAATTTAGTCTCCGCTTTCCCACACCCCTCTCAGGCTATTCTCAATACAACTAGAGTGACCTTTTTAAAATGGAAGTTAGATCACTCTACTCTTCTCCTAAATACTTTCCAATGGCTTCCCTTTTCACTCAGAATGAAAGCTAAAGTCCTTACAACGGTCTATAAAGTCCCTACACAATCTGGGTTCCTGTCTCCTCTCCAGACTTCATCTCCAACTGTTCTCCCCATCTCTCATTTGTTGTTCCTTAAACATGCCATCATACTACCAGTTCAGGATCTTTGCACCTTGCTGTTTTCTCCACCTAGAGTACTCTCTCCCCAGATAGCCACAGGCTTTTTTCCTTACTTCCTTAGGGTCCTCTGTTTATAGTTCGGAAAACTGTATACAATAGGGGAGGAGATATAGGGATGAAACAGTTTATTAAACAGCTTTCATCCAATCTCCTTATTTTAGCACCACCCCTTCACTTGTAGTATCCAGAGCATTGAGAAATCTGCAACATAAATTGGGTTGGCTCTCAGCTGTCCCAACTGCTGTTTTAGAATTAACTTATTTTATTTAGGTCTGCTGGTTGCCACTCATTCATCTGCTTTCAAACTTTCAAAAATGTATGGCTGTTTTCTCCTCTCTTATCTGCCCTATCCTTGTTGGCTTACAACTTAAAACAAAAAACCAAAATCTCTTTACTATACTTTTAGTCAGGGTTTGAGAGGGAACAAAATGTGATATGTATGTCGTTCTGCCATCTTAATGTGAGCATTTTAATTCATTTTACTTTAAAAAACATATACAAGGCACTTCCAGAAAGGCAAAACATTCTAGAAAAACAAACAAAAAAGTACTACAAACTTTAAAAAGATCTTAAAAAGCACAAATATAAAAACTAATAGTTTTGAGTTTTGTTCTATTTTTATTTTCATATACATATACTATATTCTTTTTTATGCATTCAGTATTTCATAAAAACAACAGAATACTATCAATGAATCAGTTTGTACCATTTGTGAAAATTCCAATTTATCTGGTGATAGAGGGGAATTCTCCATGTTTCTGGAAAAGCAGAATCCTGTTCATCACACACACAAAAAGAAAAGTAACCAAATTCCATTTATCATAAACAATGTTCCAGGAAACCCTTTTAAAATGTGAAGTGCCCGAGGAACTATAATATAGCTATAGAAAAATAAACTAAGCAGTGGTCTTTCCCATTCACCTAGGCTTAAGGTCTAATTCACTCTGAGAGAAAAAGGCCATTTCAAAGCGTATCTTTATATACTATCAGATAAAGCAAATGGAAAGTATATATCAACCAAAACAACAATAACAAAAAAGCTAATTATCATAAATATATTATTACCATTACTCTTATAGCAATCTTCCACAAACTTGGCAACTAGAAACAAAACTTACCTGTCTAAGAAAATATCTGGGAGTGGAGGATAGGTCTGCATGTCAGGCACTCGCTCGTGGACTATTACCATAATGAAAGATGTAAACCCGAATACTATAAAAACATATATACAACTCAATATGGTCTTCCAGTACTCTGGGTCCAATCTTCGAACAGAATGTTTGTTTTTACCATTCATATACTGGTACTGATCAGAATTCAAATCAGTGATGGGTCCATCACAGTCATGTGAAGGCTCCCCATTACAGAGCCACTCTGCACTCTGAAGAACACTGATGAAAGGGGTCATAGAACCCATGGGACTGTCACTGTTGTATCCCATGTCTTCTAAAACATCAATATGTATTTTCTGCAATTTTCGGACTGAAAGCATTAACCTCTTAATGTCCCCTAAGACTTTGATTTCCAAAGGGGGAGACCGGAGATCATACTCAGTCAATGTTAGCAAGGTGATTCCATCAAGTCGGTGCTTATTGCATAAAATGTCCACGTATTCAAAAAAGCCTTCATCCTTTAGCCAAACAGCTACATGCTTAGTTGTCCAGCGGCGAATGCAGAGTTGATTAGGACTGGCCATTTCCTCCTCCACTGCCTATCAAGGGAAAACAGGAAAACAAAACAAAAACTTGAGTGTGTCCTAACAACTCCTTTGAAGACCAAATACACATAAACATACCAGAAACAGTAATTTACCTTTACTGCCCTACTGGCTTCTAGAAGAGAGTAAAAGAAACAAAAATTACTCATTAATGAGTGGTTTTCAATAAATTAATATTCTAATAATTTTATGCATATAACCCCAATAGCAGAAGGAAGGCTAAGGACCTTTTTTTTTTTTTTTAAAGATTGGCACCTGGGCTAACAACTGTTGGCAATCTTTTTTTTTTAAGGATTGGCACCTGGACTAACAACTGATGCCAATCTTTTTCTCTTTTTTTTTCTGCTTTATCTCCCCAAACACCCCCTGTACACAGTTGTATATCTTAGTTGCAGGTCCTTCTAGTTGTGGGATGTGGGATGCCGCCTCAACGTGGCCTGACGAGCGGTGCCATGTCCACGTCCAGGATCCGAACCCTGGGCTGCCGCAGTGGAGCGCGCAAACTTAACCACTCGGCCACGGAGCCGGCCCCCTAATGACTATTTTTATAAAACATTATTTTACAAATGTCTTTTCCACACCACTGCAGCCATAACTTAATTAAAAAAATCCCATTTTAATACTTTTCATAACATGAGATATACAGAAAGATTTGTTATATGTAAAAATAAATCAAATTTCAGAAATCTTCATGTTCATGGAGTATTTCTCCCTCCTCCACAAAGAAAGAAAGAAAAAAAAAAACACCACAAAGGCGGATAGAGATAACTAATTTCAGGAAAGCCATTAGATTAAGCGTATTTCTATCTACCATATAAACAACTATTTCTGTAACAGATACTAGGCCTTTAAACTAGATATAAAGAGCTATAAATATCTTAATAGCTCAGTTCTTTCTATACCTTGAATATTCCATTATAGAACTGAATAAGGACTTTCCTTCTTAAACTATCATTGAAATGTTAGTGACAAAAATTTTAAAAGAAAGCTACTTCAATGAACCCATAAATTTGAGGACCCAAACTTTACACTGCAATTATAAAAAGCCAATAATGTATGTACCATTTCAAAAAGTACTAATAATTTTTACTACTTTGATCCCACACAAATCTATTTATGTTCTTTTTCTATTTTAAAACTTTCAGTTACTTGGGCGTATATCACATTTATAAACCTGTATCAGTTACACTGGAGATTTACAAAGCCCTACAAAAAAAAAAAACTATTTCTCTAAAGCAGTTTCTCAACTACTAAAGCCTGTGGGTTTTCTGACATTTTCCAGATCTCCAAAGACCACGTTTCCTTCTGAGATGATTTTTAAAAAACATACTAGACAAACTTTAAAGCATTAAAAAAAAAAAAGAACAAAGAATGCTACAACAAACACCCATGTGCCCACTACCCAGCTTGAAAAATAATAATTCCAATATGCATATTCTGTTTCTTAATCTGGGTATTAGTTATACAGTGTTGTTCATTCTGTGAAAACTCATCAAGCTGTACATTTATGATCTATACTTTTCTCTACATGTGTTAAACTTTATTTAAAAAGCAAAACAAAACATCAATATAAGTGAACATCCTTCCCTGATAGCATCCCCTTCCTCTCCTTCCAGTTGTTATAATTCCTGATTTTGATGTTTATCATTCCCTTCTAATATGCATTTTTGGCTATGAAAAATCTTCTATGCTTCTTGATGCTGAAGAAGGAAAAGGCCACAAATGTTTTACATTCTTCCCTTACCCACACAAACTCTTGCCATGAAGATTTATAATTACTTGAAAAAGGCAGATACTTAACTACATGGGCACCACTTGCACCATCAAAAATATTCAGCAAACAAGAAATACTTTCATTAAATATTTATTTCTTAATTACTTAAAAGCAATCCTAGTTTTTGGAAACCTTAAATCATCTTTTCTTTCCAGAGGTTTTAATATTATCAATTCACAACAGCTTTTCAGTTTTAGAAAATTAACAGCACATATATCTATAAGCAGTCTATACGTTTTAAAAGGCTATCTAATTCTTACATACTACAGAGCTACAAAAGCTCTTACTCAACTCTTCTTTTTAGGTACTGTATATCATTGCCATCCCAAAGGCCAAGGAATTGTGACTTAGTCACTTTAACACATGAAATTTATACACATTGATGTATATTGTTTTATACCATTTATTATATCTATATAAAATTCCATTAAAAATACGATTTTGCTATGTTCACATACATAGCCAGAGGGTTTCATCCTACCCACTACATACACATCTTTTCCCCAAGGTATGCTCTGAATAAATTACTACATCCTTGAATATTCAACAAGTACATACTACAAACTCTGCAGCAGTTACAACATAGCAAATTTGAGAAACTTATCTCATACAAAACAAGGCCAGATTTCTTCCATCGTTTTATTTCTATTTGGGTATATTTACCCTTTCTCTAACAGCTTACCAACAATGGGTTCCAAGTCACTCCCATCCTTGTAGCATTATTCTTCAGTATAGTTTCATCTCACACACTGCTCAAAATGATCTCCTTTTTCATCTTCTTCTTTTTTTTTTTTGGTCTTACATTACCAGTTCTTTACACCCTCAATCAGGCTAACAAACAGGCTTTGAAAAGGGTGTTTTAGCTGCTAGAAAATGAGTTATCATACAGGTAGCCCATGGAAGTGTTTGAGCCTGCTGTGGCAATGCCCTAAAAACATGACACATTCCAGGGTTGTGCTTCAGCAGGTCAGGGCATGTACTGTAATAGTATTCTACCACATATAGTCAGAGGCCTATATTTAGCTAACGCTGTGAAGATCTGCATTAAAGAGGTATATTAAAAGGTGATAAAAGGCTTTAGGGCCGACAATATTTTTGATATACTAGAGAAACTACAGGGAATAGGAGATTTTGAACAAAGAATATGACAGCTATAGATTTCACACGAATCCAAAAATGAAGAAATTAGGTTAGCAAATGTTTATGAACACTTTCAGCTTTAACCAATAATTAATATGAACGAATTATCAGTGAAAAGGACTTCTGCTTCTGACCAAGATATAATAAGAGGAACCAGATTACCCTCCCACCTGAAACAACCAAAAAGTACACAAACAATATGGGAAAAAAGCCCAGTTTCAAGACACTGGGCAACAGACAACAAAGGAGATCCCTGACAGAGCCCTACTGCCCTTGAGCCTATATCAGGTTTATAAACTTTATCAGATACACAGGAGACAAAAGCCTACCTGAAAATAAGGTGAGCCTACTGCCTCAGCTCACTGCCTTGAGAGTCTGTATGCAATGAGCGGCACAGGATGGAAGCTGGGTGAGGCCCAGCAGACTCAGTGAGTGGAAAACATGGAGCTGAGAGTCTGGGGAGGCTAGTGTTCATGGGATAGAACAGTGGAGAGGAGAAAGACGCATAGACAGAGAACTTGTCATGGACTGAATGTTTGTGTCTCCCCAAAATTCATATATTGAAATCCTAACCTCCAATGTGATGATATTAGGAGGTGATGAGGTCATGAAAGCAGAGCCCTCATGAATAGGATTAGTGCCTTTATAAGAGATACCCCAGAGAATTCTCTCACTCCTTCCACCATGTGAAGACACAGCTAGAAGATGACCACCTATGAACCAAGAAGCAGGCCCTCATCAGACACCAAATCTGCTGGCACTTTAATCTTGGACTCCACAACCTCTAGAACTGTGAGAAATAAATTGTTGCTTAAGCCACCCAGACTATAGTATTTTTGTTACACAGCCTGAACGGACCAAGACGGAACTCCAGAGATCTGCAGAGGGTCTTCCTTGAATATGCAGTTGAATGCTGATCAGCACATATATGTGAGGAAACCAAACAAGACTGAGAAAAGAACCACCTAGGAAGAGTAGAGGGAACAGTGCCCAGTACTTACACAAAGCCAATAGAAGTGCCCACCCTAAACAACCATACTGAAAAAAAAAATCTCATGATCCATGGGGCTTCAGGTAGAGTACACAGGAAGATCTTGCCATAGTAGTAAGGCAAAATTAACCCTAACATAGTAGTTCTCACCTGGGGGCAATTTTACCCTACCCCCAACATTTGGTAATTTCTGGAGACATTTTTGGTTGTCAAAACTGGGGGATCATCTAAACAATAAAGGCTAGGAATGCCGTTAAATATTCTACATTGCACAGGACAGCCTCTCACAACAAAGAATTATCTGACCCAAAATGTTATACTGCTGATATTGAGAAACCCTGCCCTTGACTAAATATGTCTCTGGTCCAGCCAAGCAAATCTTAAAAGCAAGACCCAGAACGATCACACCGTTTTCAAGTAACTTAACTATATCCCACAACAAAGCTCAAGAATATTAATAGGAATACAAAGTATTCAGCACCCAACAGGTACAATTCACAATATCTGGCATCCAATCAAAGATTACTAGGCAACAGTCAACCAAAATCAACCCAGAACTGACACAGATAATAGTATTAGCAGACAAAGAAATTAACACACTTATGCTAACTGTATTAAATATGTCCAAGTTCAATAGAGACATAGACACATAAAAAAGATCCAACTCAAACTTCTAAAGATGAAGTTATAATATATGTAATGAAAGACAACATACTAGATGGGATTAACAGCTGATTAGACATTGCAGAAGATAAGAATAATAAACCTGAAGACATATCAATAAATTATTTAAAAATTATTCAAAATAAAACACAGAAAGAAAAGAGTATTTTAAAAAATGAAGAGAATATTACTCAGCCTTTAAAAGGAATCTTGAAAACATTGTGCTACGTGAAATAAACCAGACACAAAAGGACAAATATTGTATGATTCACTTAGATGAGGTACCTAGAATAGTGAAATTCATAAAGACAAAAAAAATAGAATGGTGGTTTCCAGAGACTGGGGCAGGGGACAAGGGGAGTTATTATTTAATGGGTACAGAGTTTTCATTTGGGATGATGTAAAAGTTCTGGAAATAGATGGTGGTGATGGTTGCATAACAATGTGAATGTACTTAATGCCACTGAACTGTACACTTAAAAATGGTTAAATGATAAGTTTATGTTATAGATACTTTACCACAACTTAAAAAAACAAAAAGAATATCAGTGAGAGGAGGGACAACTTCAAATAACCTAACAGATGTGTGACTGTAGTCCCCAAAGGGGAAGAGTGAGAGGAGGGGACAGAAAAAAATATTTGGGGGCCAGCCCTGTGGCATAGTGGTTAAGTTTGGCGCACTCCACTTTGGCAGCCCAGGTTCACAGGTTCGGATCCCGGGCATGGACCGACACCACTCATCAAGCCATGCTGCGGGAGTGATCCACATAGGAAGACAGGCAGACTGGAAGACTGTTAGCCCAGGACTAATCTTCCTCAAGCAAAAAAAGATTAGCTCAGGGCTAATCTTCCTCAAGCAAGAAAAGAGGAAGATTGGCAACAGATGTTGGCTCAAAGCAAATCTTCCTCAGCAAAAACGTAAAATAAATAAAACAATACCAGTGAATGTTTTAAAAAAATTCTTGAAGTAACAATGGCCAGAACTTTTCCAAATTTCGTGAAAACTATAACACGTGTACCCAAAAACCTCAATAAACCTCAAACTTAAGAATCACAAAGAAAACTATACCAAGGCATATTATAATCAAATTGCTCAAAACCAATGACAGTGAAAAAATCTTAAAAGCAAAAAAGGGAAAATAGACCCATTATGTGCACAGGAACAAAGAGAAGAATGAAATCAGATTTCTCACTGGGAACAACGCAAGCTGGAGACAGTGAAACAACGTCCTTAAAGTACTGAAACAAAAAAACTGGCAACCTATAATTCTGTGCCCAGTGCAATAACTTTCAAAGACAAAGATAAAATAAATAGTTTTTTAGACACACAAAAGCTGAACAATTTCATCACCAGCACACCTGCACTACCAGACATATTAAAAGGAAGTCTTTCAGGCAGAATGAAAATGCTACCATATGAAAATATGAATCTACACAAAGCACTGAATACCAGAAATAGTAACTATATATGGTAAATACATAAGTAAATTTATGTCAACAATAGCACAAAAATTGGGAGAAATGGGTTACTAAAATGACACTCTTTCAGAAAAGGAGGGAATATTTCTGAATTCATTCCATGAGGACAGTATTACCCTGATACCAAAACCAAATAAAAACATTACAAGAGAAAAAAACTACAGTTTGATAACCCTCAAGAACATAGATGCAAAAATTTTAAGCAAATCTTAGCAAATCAAATCCAACAATATTTAAAAAGGATACATCATAACCAAGTGGTGTTTATCTCGGAATGCAAAGTTAGTTTAACACTTGAAAATTAAAATAATTCACCATATTAACAAGCTAAAACAGGGAAATCACATGATCATCTCAAAAGACACAAAGTGGTATTGGCATAAAGATAAACAAATCAATGGAACAGAACAGAGAATTCAGAAATAGATCTACATATATATATGGATATCTAATTTTCTACAAATGTAGAAGGGCAATTCAGTGGAGAAAGGACAGTCTTTTCATCAAATGGTATTGGAACAATGGACATCCATAGAAAAAAAAACCAATCCATACCTCTCACCACATATAAAAATTAACTCGATATGGATCACAGACTTAATGTAAAACCTAAAACCAGAAAACTTCTAGAAGAAAACATAGGAGAAAATCTTTCTGATCCTAGCTTTCTCAGAAATGACACCAAAAGCAAAATCCATAAAAGAACAAATTGATAAATTGGACTTCATTCATCTAGGCAGGGGACTGAATGACTTCTATGGTTTTTAGTCTGCAAATTTCTGCATTGTTTGAATCTTTATAGTCATGTATTTTTATAACAAAGACAGAAAAATACATAGAATACATATTCATTGAAGAACATGTAAAATATAATTTTAAAACTACCCCCCAGAGAACTATTGCTTGTGATTTGTTATATATAAAGAGAAATCATACCATAGATAATTCTGTATCATTTTACTTAACATTATTACATGAATCCTGTCTTATGTTATAAATTATCCTTTGAAAAGGACATTCCATTGTATGGCTATACAATAATTTGTCACCTCCTCATTGTTGGCAATTGTTTACAATTGTATTACTATTACAAATAGTACTGCAGTGCCTTAAGTTAGATTTCTAGAAGTGGAATACCTGTATCAAAGATCTGAGGTGTTATTTAGACACAAACTCTGAGGTACATTGTTAAAGCTTGATCCACATTAAAAAGCACTGCAAAATGTTAATTCATATATATAAAGGAAATAGTTCAATGTGAGATAAAATTTAAAAGAAGTTTATTCTGAAATCATGAGCAATTAAGCAATTATTTATCAAAGGTCAATACTGTATTATCAAGGCACTGAGAGAACAGTCCACTCCTGCAGAATCTTACTAACCAGAAACATCAGTCAAACCTACTTTGAAGTCATAGATAGCAGATAAACAAAAGCAGCTGATTGTTCTGTACAAAGTGAAACATGTCTTATTTTTCGGGTGGACTCTGGTTAGAAATTTTTGAAAACTATAAAAAAACAATTTTCAGCACAACTCTTTTATTTACTAGCAAATTTATTTGTTTTCTCTCCAAATTCAGTTCACACTAATGAGATTTCAGTAGCCTGAGAGCAAAAGAGCTCAGTATATTTCCTATGTTCTTATCTCCATACTTAATAAAATGAAAAAAGCTTATCATAAACCTAAGAACTTTAAATCAAGTATTTCTTAACAGTAGCATAACTATTCCTTAATTAATGACCCTTTAAGATGCAACCTATTAGAGTGACCCAAATCTCTTCACAATAATATAACTCAGTTGTGTTCTACCATACTAAAACTGCAAACACTGCGTGTTAGGTTTAACAAACTAAACACAATCAGCCCAGAACTGCAAAAGGAGATAATGACTATCAACAAACTCTTTTCCAGTTCTGCCTTGTGGAAGCTATTTGTTTTGCCCCACCCTTCCTCTGTGACTGACAGCTGCAGGACAATCTGGCCATTCCTGGAAATGATGACTTGACTAAAAGGAGAATTATCGACTCAGAGTACATGACAAATATGATGAACTGGAGCTCAGTATCCTTTCCAATCTCCCTTCAG